TCTTAAAATCGTGACGATCTTTACTTGGTATAAAGACAACATTGACAATGAATATCCATGGAGCTAAAAAAAAATCTTTTTTTAGCTCCATGGAATATCTCAACGTGATCCTTCGGTGTTTCAGCAAAAAACATACTAGTAGTTACTATGAATAGTTTGTGAATTGGTCGATTGTGTGTCAGAAATATAAAATGGACAAGTTGACAGTCACATTCACGCTCTCAGTTCATTTCTTTCGTCTATCATTCTTCCGTTCTCAATTACACAGGACATCAGGCAAGTTATGGGGATAATCTTTATTTGTCTCACACCTTCTATGGGGCAATAAACAATGCAGGGTGGAAGTGAGGCACGACAAGCTCGGTGTCTGCCTGATTGTAAACAACCTGGCGGCTGGCGCTTATTTCAGGGTTCTTATTGACAAAACCACTCAACTCTTGGTGGCTCTTAATGGAGGGTCAAATGTAACAAATTTTCACTGAGTGGCTCTTAATTGAGGGTGGCGCTTATTTGCGGGTTTTTACGGTAAAATATCTATACGAAATACAATCAACGTAGAGACAGGCGAGATGAGAATGTTGCGTGAAAGCGAACAGAAAAAAACTTGAGCAGTGCGGGAACTATACTCAGAATGAAAATTTCTCCAACATTTCTGGGATTATATTGACATTTCCACCAATCATGAAGCTCTCACAATTAGCACTTGTACTCATGGTAACAATTTGAAAACTTTATTTACGTCGTCTATGTGTCTGTCGCGTGTCCATTTCACACTTATTCAATCAGGCGTCTATCACCCAAATAAAACAGACATTGCATACACAATACATACACTCATTTCTTGTATACACAGGAACTGAGGCAGCCCCAGGACGGTGAACACATGTGGACACGGGAAGCACTGCACACAATAATTGACAAGTCTCAAAAAGCCAATGCGGCTTCTATTACAGGGTTTTGCAAGTTTCAATTGTTGTAATTTTTGACTTGATACATTGTAGCAAAGTCGGGGTGCGGCTTCTAATAAAAGTGCGGCTTCTATTACGAATTTTACGGTAGTCCATTTTTGACTGTTGATCCTGTGTGCGATTTTGTGACTTGATGACACCTTAAGATACTAAAAACTATCAGAACCAAATCTATAGAACTCGATAATGTTCGGGTATTTGCAAGTAACTTTATGATGTGGGTATTACATGTATGCGAATACCATAGGTGGTGTATTTATTACAGTACACTAGATTATTTCATATATTCAAAGCTTAAAACAAAACTTTGCCAACAATACAACAAAACTTAACACAACCAAGTATCTTGGTGAATGATATACATATCCATACAAGCATGATGATTAATATACAATATTTACACTTATACAATTTTCAGTCTCTGTCCGCCCATGCGCTCTCATATCTCTTACATTCATGATCAATTCCATCGGCAATTTTTTAGACAGCCAATGTATTATGGTTGGCAGGTGTACGTTAAAGCGAGAGGGTTGTCACCTGTGCACGCGTAATAATTGAGTCCCAAACTACAATAACAACACATGCTAAAAACACAAAGGCTCATGGGTAGACGCTTGTTTGTAAACAATGACATGCTATGGCCATCAGACGCATGCGCAGGTGACAACTCCCCCGCTTTAAGTTTTATCTTGATTCATCCACCTTTAGTGTGTTTTTTTGGCAAACAGTAATTTTGGTTCTAAAACAATGTTTTCTCTTGTATTTGGATATGCATGAAAGAATTTTGTTCTAAGTTACCACAAAGGCAAACCATAATTGAAATGCATGTTTTACTGACATTTATGGTGGTATCATTTTAGGTAGTGTTTTGGAACACATTATGGTCATTTTTGGTAAAATTAGGGTGAAAATGTTTGTATTTGAACATGCATGGAGCAATTTTGTTGAAAATTGATACAAATTCAAATTATAATTGAATATATGTTCTACTGACATTTTTTGGTGCTCCATGTAGTTTTCCAGTTGTATTTTCAGTTACATTATGGTAATTTTTGGTAAAAAATATGAGTGAAAGTGTTGTTTAACTCTTCTATTTGGTTATACATTGAACAATTCAGACTTGTTAAAATTATAATAGAATACATAATCTTATGACATTTTATGGTGGTCCATGTGCTTTTCAGTCATATTTCTCTGCCCAATTTGGTCAGTTTTGGTTAAAAATGGCAGTGAAAATAATGTTTTCTCTAGATAGTACATGTATACATGGAATAATTTTGTTCAAAGTTAGTACAAAGACAAATTTAATGGAATAAATATTCTTCTGAATTTAATGGATTGAATTTCTATTGAACATTAGCAAAAACATTGTAAATGCATTGCTTCTCTACTGTGTATTTAGTTTTAATTTTATTTAATTAAATTTTTAATTAGTTTATTTTTGAATCTATTGTCAAGGTGAGTGGATTAAGAGAACACAACTACACTTGATCTTGTACAGGGACTATTGCATGTTATGTCTTGTTGTTTATAATAACGAATAATTGATTTGACATTGTTTTTGTAGATATGGGTATCCAATATCTTTTTGGTTTTGTGGAATTGAACATTGATGAACACATGACTTTACCAGACTATGCTGCCAATTTGTATTGGTTCAAAGAAGGCACACACGTCTTGCCTGAAAATATTGTAATTTCTGAAGATGGCCATCAGCTCCTGATTGAATCTTTTGAAGAAGTAGACTATGGTATAATTACTTGTGTTGTGTACAGTGAAGAGAATTATTTCATTGGTAAACGAAGATTTCAACTTGGTAGAGGTAAGTCATTTACATAGTTGTTTACGAATTCCACTAAAGAAAATATTGTTATATTTGTGTGTAGTGTAGACCCACATCTGCATGTGATTAACCCCTATTTTCTTTTCAGTTATTGTCCACGTTGTTTATTTCAATTATTGTCCATGTTGTTGATTTCCCCCTTTGTCATGTTGATTTCACTCTTTATCAATATCGTTAATTTCACTCTTTGTCTGTGTTGTTGATTTTAACCATTGTCTATATTGAACTCAACTATTGTCCATATTGTTTATTTTTTATCATTCATGTTAATTTCAATGTTTTTAATGTCATTGATTTAAACTAATGCCCATGTTGTTGATTCCACCCTTTGTTCATGTTGTCTTTTTCTTTCATTGTGATTTTCATGTTAATTTCAACCTTTGTTCATGTCATTGATTTAAAATGTTATCATTGTTCATGTTGATTTCATGTTCTTTCAAAATTTATTGTGTAATGTATATTATTGAGTTAATTAAGAGGTAGTAAAGAAAATAAAAATTATTACCGGTAATTAATTATTGTCCATGATATTTCAACCATTCTTCATGTTCATTTCTACCATTTTCATGTTGATTTTCATCATTGTCCATGTTGTTGATGTCAATCCTTGCTTCTGTGTTGATTTCAATCGTTGTTCATGTTGATTTAAATGCAGATTGTTCATGTTCATTACAACCCTTGTCCATGTTGTGTTGATTTCACTTATTGTTCATGTTGATTTCAATCATTGTTCATGTTGTTGATTTCAATCATTGTCCATTCTGTTGAATTTAGCCATTGTCAATGTTGTTGATTTCTGTCTTTGATTTCACAGAGATCGAAATCTTTACGTTATCACCAGTTAATCCACGGGAAATATATCGCTCCATTGGCTCAACTGTCAGTTTTGAAGTTCGAATTGTTGGATTTTTTGATCCTGATGATATCAAATGGTAAGTAACACATACCTGTATGACTTGTTGCGATTTCAATATTTTATATGGAAATAATTTCTTCACCAACCAGTCAATGAAATCACCAGGGCTAATCGTTTTACATCATGGTGGGTGAAATACCCAAATCTGCTTAATTTAGTATACCCTTTTAAAGAATGTGGCAAACTCCCAAAAGATTAGATTTTCAAAATCAGTTTGAAAATGAAGACAGAGAAAACTATCATAATCAATGGAAGATTCACTTGCTGCTTTGTATCACACTCAACAATTTATCTATTTTCTCCAGGAAAGTTAAATAAAGGCCATCACACATGATATTCTTCAATGAATACAAGACAAATGATTTGAGTCGTACAGATACAGATAATGTGTATCTGTTTTCTGCATTAATTGTAGCTCCCAATACTTAGTTGTTCTGACAATATTAGCATGGTTCACTTACATCTCACAGATGTTTATTAAACAGATAATAAAGTGTCAGACCTAAAATCTCCAACTCGTTGCTAGACAATTTCACCAAACGTTTGGTGAATTTGGCTGAATTTCAGGCAGAAAAAAAAAATTCAGTTGATAGTTTTGCTGGAAAAAAAAAATACAAAGAAATTTGTTTGTAAAGTGTTGTTCCTACAAAATTTATACATATATTTTCTTGTACCATTGGGAATTAAATGAATACTTTCAACCAATATAAATAATGAAATAAAGGACTTTTCTGACCATTAACCTATTCACCACCAGTCACAAAATAGTCCTATTTATAGTCTGCATTTTTCTTAAAAATTTTTGAACAAAGATAGCCAGATTTTTTGAATAAAAACTGAAAATTGACTCAAATTTTGTCTGTTGGCTCCAAAATTAGGAAGGTTCATTTCCATAAATATTGAACATTATAGAAAAAAAATGAATTGGTTATGAAAAAAAATGTTCTGAAATTACTGTACTCTTAAAATGTTCGTTAAATTGTGTATTTTCACTGTTAGGCATAAAGGATTGTCAGTTATAGATGGGGAGGAAAACAGCAGAGTTGAGTTAACTAACGATGCTCAGAATCTCACAATTTCTCATATTGTGAAGAAAGATTATGGTAGTTACACCTGTAGTTTATTAAATAGTGACTCCATGGAAGTCAAAGTAGAGTTTCAGTTAGCACAGCCAGGTAGGTAATATTCTGAGGCAGAACACCATGACCCTATACCATTGACCCTTGTGAATGAGTACACCCTGTGGTGGCATGTCTTCTCAAGTGAATACATGTAACAGCGTTCAGATTTCATTTTGTCTAATATGTTGCATTTTGAAATATTCCCATTTTCGCAATTTCTAACATTAAATCATTATAACAACATATTGCACATTGGTATTACTATACTGTTCTTTTTAAGATTAGACATTTTTAAACAAGTTTTCAAAACTTATTATTGATCAATTTGGCAATTTATTTTTATTGCAATATACATTGATCAATGTTAAAAATATTATTCACCAATATTTTGATCATTATATTTGCTATTAAAATTTTAATTTTGTTGAAAATTGATCAATATACTATATTTAATTGTAATAATAACCAATATATTGTAAAAAATATTAGCTTATAAAAATATATTGACAGACCAGATGACCAAAATTTTGGCCGAAGTTTGGTTTCAAAATTGGTTCAATCTAGGAACTAAAAAACAAAATAATTAAATGTTTATAATGTTCATGTGTATTGAAGATACATGTAGGTGATTAAATTACCAACAAATTCTCATGAGTTGTGTAGTATGCTGAACATAACAAAATCTTCCCACATGGGTCAATTGAAGGTCAAGGTGCTCATCGTAAGGATGTGTGGTTTTGTTTACATACATTTGCGCTAAACTCTCATTATGTGTTATTACTGTATCTACAATACAGTATTTGCCCCAACTGTAGCCCATATGCTTATGTAAATGACAGTGGTGTGTTTATGGTCAAAATAAGTCATATTTTAATGATCCGATATACAATACATATAACTATTTACTTACATATGCTTCCATTGAAGTTGCGCTTGTAATAGAGTAAATATGGTATACATGTTCTCCAGTGTGCTTCTTGTATGAATGACCTGTTTTTATAAAATAAACATTGATGAATGAGCTGAATTTCAGTCAGTATGAATAGTGAGCTGGTCAATCAGGTAAATTTACGGTATTTATGTAACTGCTGCAGTCTTTAGATAAAGATTTGCAGCCTAACTGATTATTCTTTGAATGTAAAGTTAAAAAGTGAAATACCCAATGTCTGATGGAGAGATGCATTAAAACATGAACACAAGTATCCAGGATGAAAATGCACCTACCGGATTCGGCTGATACCCCGCCCATCCTAAACCCCGCCCATAGGCGATGTTTCAAATAGTGGGCGATGTTTTGGTCCACACATTGCCTGACTGAACCAACAAACATTTTTACAGACCCCAATTTTCCCGTCCGACATCTTGTATCGAGCGCGCTATTTCAAATATGACGCTAAAATAATTCACTGTGAAGTCGAAAAGCATTAAAACTTCAATAAAACCAATGCTGTATATGAATTGTTGTTGCGTATTATGACTCGTTAAAATACATTTCACTTACGTTTATAACACTCGAATAAAGTCTACGCTTGAAAAGAATGTTATTTACGAAGTTTTAAAATATCCAAGCCTTTCTGGTTTGAGCCTCTTGGTTGTTAACAGTAATGTTTAATCTTTGTCTGTATCGCATTCCAGACAAAAAGTCGGTAAACAAGAAATTGGCGAACTAAAATGTCTCCTGCGTTTCACATGCGACATGATTATTAAAAAAAAACAGAGTTAAGGGCCATGTACGTTCTATAAAGCTAACCTTGTACACATAATCTTATACTGACGTGTTTTTTGTCCAAAAAAAGACGTTCCCTTTCAGTTAACCCCCAGTTAACTCTTCGCGTTCATGGTATTTGTGAGAGTTGAATGATTTTTTGAACACATGACAAGTAACTATATTGATTTGCGTCAAGCTGGATGGCCCAAATTTAATTATCAGTGCGTGAACTCTGCGTTGTTATTAGAGTTCAGTCGAAATGTATGTGAATATTGCGCTCGAAGTGTGCTGTCCAGAGTTTATTATATTATAGTAAAATTTAACTTGACGCATGGTATGGTTTATATTACATGTTCACTTCATTTCGAATAAAAAAATCACCATTGGAACATCGATGAATCACAAGTATTTAAAATATTTTCTTGACTTTTCGTAGACATCCGACTACTATCAGTTTTAATGATTTAATTGCGCCCATGTTTATGTTTGCGTAATTATTACGAATGCAACGCATTATCAAGTCGGTAATTTTGAAATATTCACAGACCCAATACCCCGGTTCAGCATCCTAGCAATAGTAAAAATTAATTTGAGTTTGCGTAATTATCATGAAAGCAATACATTACAAAGTTGAAATATTCAGAGCTGTTACAGAATTGCATACAAGTTGCGTAATTACAGTACCGTCGGATATAATAACAATTTTACTAGATCGACGTGCGGACCACAAAAGAAAAATGTTGCTAAGGTAACGCGCTAGTTCAGCGCGTGACTTGGGGTCAAACTTCGGTCAACACACACTTGATGCCAGCATCGCCGCGCAGCAAGTTTCGCAAAGTACTTGAAGTTCAATTGCATCCCAAAATGATGTCGCTGATCACTCAGTTGTCGCAGCGTGTATTGTGTCATGTCCATGATGCACCCCGTTTCGACTTTGACTTGCTTTTCCTTCTTAGTGCATGTTCTTGTTCACGTAAAATGCGACCTCTCACCAATGTATTAAAACACTTTGAATTTATACTTTGCATGATTATATTTGGTCAACGCGAAACATTATTTTTTCTAGACCATTTTTATCAACGCAGGGTTATTTTTCCAGACAAGATAGGCCTCGTAATATCTGCCAAAAGATCGCCCGGGCGATCTTTTGGTCCACATTTTTCTAAAAAAAAATCGAATCCTCCATAAGATCGCCCAGGGCGGGGTATTAGCCGAATCCGGGTAATACCTGCCATGGATTTTGTTTGTGAGTTTTTAATCCTTTCGTCTGCTGGGGATTAGTAATTATCTATACGCAGTGCAATGATCATCCAGATTCAAATCTGTGTTTGGTGGAATGTTACTGGTATGGGTAACACACTCAAGTATAGTGTAGGGACATAGTATTTTCATATGTCCGAGGAGGCTTTCAGTAGGCAGTGTGTTAAACCCTATTTAGTATTTTATTTGGATTGCAAAATGGGTAAAATACATACACACATACAATCTTTATTTTCTTGCATATCTCACCCCAGCAGATACCAGCAGACATAGTGTGATCCAAAATCTTTGAAATTTGATTGAGATCCATGATCTCTATGAATCAGTCCTATTACAAGGCACACTGGCCACAATGATTCTCGATGCCATGATTGTCTCTGTTATTTTGTTACTAGTGTTTGACCACTATGATGACATAGCACATTACTGGGATTTTGAGATGATTAGAAACCAAGACGACAAGGTTGTTTATCTTGATAAGATTACTCACAAGATGAGTGAAGGATCATGTGCTAGGGGAGGAGAGGGTGTTGTTGGGAATAGTGTCCATTTGAATACTCAAGAAAATTGTAAAGGTAAGTACTATGTACAGTGATGGTCTGGGAGAGAAGTATTGTTTATTTCAAATCCTGTAGACTGACTGTTTTGGAGAGAATTGTGGTGCATCTCAAATCTTAACTGGTTTGGAAGAGAAGTATTGTTTATTTCAAATCCTGTAGACTGACCGTTTTGGAGAGAATTGTGGTGCATCTTAAATCTTAACTGGATTGGGAGAGGAGTATTGTGGAGCATCTCAAATTCTGTAGACTGACTGTTTTGGAAAGTATTGTGGAGCATCTCAAATCTTGTAGACAAATTGGTCTGAGATAACATATCATCATAACACTATGTAAAAACTTAGTAAATAAAATTATAACACACAATAAAATTTGTGTGCAATTACATCCTTGTTTTGTGGTGAAAATATCATAGGCCAATCAGTAAGTTTGTCCATTAAAACAGAAGTCACCTTTTCCAAAATGTTGATATGGGCTGTCTCAGCTGGCTCAGTCAATCCAGATTTAAAGTGTCATTTGCTTTACACAAAAAAACTACAAACAAAACTGTTGATAGCTGCATATTCAGAAAATGTTAACCACAACAGTTGAAATATTTTGTTGTTGTTAGGTTATCTAAAGATTGTTGAGAATGAGCTTTCTGAAGAATGTTTTACAGAACCTGACAACTGCATGGATGGGTTTTCTTTCTCACTGTGGGTTAACTTGATTTCCACAACATCACCAGGGTAGGTAATTATATGGGGATACGGTTGAGCAGTAATGTAATTGTGAATGTATTTACAGAATTTTGAAATAAATAAGTTTCGAGAAATCATTAATTTATCTTTCAAAAATGCCTTGCTATTAGTCCAAGGTTGAAATTGATGATAATGTATTTATTTATATTTTTCAGGCAAGCATTTCTGATTTGTTCCAAACCGAGAGGACTGTGTGGTACATGTCAATCATCGTCTAATACATTTACATGCTCCATGACACTGACAACAATTGATATGAAGTGGGATGTGCCACGATTTGAACTGAGTAAAAATACTTGGCATAATATTCTTGTGAGCTGGGATCCAATTGGTGAGATGAGAGTCTACCTAGATGCCAATGTAGAAGGTTCCGTCTTTCCAACAGAATCTGAACGGGGCAGGTAACAAATACAATGTAATTGTGTTAACATACCCAAGTTTACAAATGCCATAAATAGACCTGGAGTGAACAATTTATTATTTGTGTTTTAAAATTATTCCTACTCAAACTTTCTGGTCTTTCTAAACAACTTTCTGGCTTTAACAAACAAGTTTCTGGTCATTCAGAACAACTTTCTGGTCATTCCAAATCATAGTCTGGTCTCTCCAAACAACTTTCTGGTCCTTCTAAACAAATTTCTGGTTTTTCCAAACAATTTTCTGGTCATTCCAAACAACTGTCTTGTGTTTTCCATCAATCCTGCGTGTGGCCTTTCTGAACAACTTTCCAACCTTACTCTCTGGCTGTCATTAATAGTGATATGAATGAATAATATAATATTGACTGTGTTAAATTGCTTTAATAAAGACATTACTAGTTTTTATCCATCTTTGATTTGCTTAAAGCTATGATGATTCTGCACATGTTGTATACCTTGGAAGTGATGACACAGAGCAGCCGGCAACACATCTAATCGGGCTCTTTGATGAATTTGTCATCTGGTATCAAAGAGTTATTTCACAAAAAGAAGTGGCAACAATGTTCCTGCAAGTCAGGGGTAAGCTAATCTAATTTGCTTTGTTTTTACTCAATAATACATTCACTGGAATTGTTGGAAAAGTTGTCTAAGCTGAACTAAAACTACAAAACTGTTCACAATGTCCAGTAGTTTCTCAATTGTAATAAAATATATTCAGTTTAGACAGGTTTCACTTTGCTCATAGATTATCACCACTTGTGGCGTGTTGTAGCACTATATATAACGTTTAATGGAAGCTGAGACTGCTTCCAATGTTACTACTGGTTTTCATTACAGGTATGGGCCCGTACAGTTTAGATGAAGACGTCACCTACGTTTTCACAGTTGAACAGTTGGATGAAATGTTAACATTCTTTTGTCCATTTGATATACCAAGAATATTTCGATCGCATCTTTACTGGGTGCAGAACAACGAGATTTTAGCTGAATACAGAGGAAGAACCATTATAAGAATGTCTGCTGAGTCTGTCTCTGTGCATAATGTCACATGTCAGTATTTTAGCGGAAGTCACCTGATATCGTCAGATGCGTTTACTGCCAAGTTGAATGGTAAGTGTAGTATCAGTTATGTTTGATGACCAGACAATACAGCCCATGATACCAAAAAACTTGTAAACTAAAAATTTGCTGTATTCTTATAGAGTGTAAATCTGTGATTGGAATTTTCACTTTATTATTCATACATGTATGAGGATTATGACCACAATCATATGATTGTGAATCCCACACCTGTATTCATACATATATTGTAAACTACACACTTGTATTCATATAGAGATTGTACACCATATATATATATATTTTCATATAGAGGTTGCAGTGTATATATATGTATTCATATAGAGAACCACACACTTGTTTCCATACGAAGATTGTGACCACACACACACACACGTGTTTCCATATGGAGATTGTGATCACACACACACTTGTTTCCATATGAAGCTTGTGGCCACACACACTTGTTTCCATATAGAGATTGTGGCCACACACACACTTGTTTCCATACGGAAATTGTGACCACTCACACTTGTTCCCATATGGAGATTGTGACCACACACAATGTTTCCATATGAAGCTTGCGTCCACACACACTTGTTTCCATATAGAGATTGTGACCACACACACACACACACTTGTTTCCATACGGAAATTGTGACCACACACTTGTTTCCATATGGGGATTGTGACCACACACACACACACACACACTTGTTTCCATATGGGGATTGTGACCGCACACTTTTATTCATACAATGAAAGTAAACCTAACTCTTGTATTATAATATGGAGATTCTAAACCACACATTTTTATTCCTAGTTATAAATTACATAATATATTGTATTTGTATTCACTTGTTTTCTTATGTTGAGTGTAAACTCAACAAATGCATTCACAATACTTTCATAAAGTGATTGTATACTTGTATGGAGTTTATAACTACATATTTGCATTCATATAAAGATTGTAACCACATACATGTACTTGTATTCATATGGAGATTGTAACCACATACTTGTATTCGTTTTGAGACCATAACCACATACTTGTGCTTGAAGTTTGACAACTGCATGTACACAAAGCCATGTACATTAACACACATAAAAACATTCCTTTTCGTGACAAGGTTGTCAATATTTTTGCTATGCTCTTAATGGTAATGATGTACTATAATAGATTTCTTAAATGTGATGCTGTACTGTACTAGATTTCTTAAATGCGATGCTGTACTATAATAGTGTTTTTCTTAAAGGGGATGAGGATACAGGGATTAGTTTTCATGCCAAGGTTGACAGCGCTGAAGAAATGGAACACGAGGACAGAGAACATGACAAGCAGATTTTGGATCATATGGCAAATGCCCAACCGAATGAGAACCTGGATATCTACTATGGTAAGTAAGACCAAATTATCAGGTAAATATATTTACATTTTAACATATGGTCAAAACTATGTTTTAATATCAATTTATCACATGATAGAGATCAGTGTTCTTTTCAGATATGCTTGAGGGTGACTGAACTACGGTAACTGTCATGTTTTGGCACTGGCGATACAAGGATACCATTGAAGCAGTGGCTAGCTGCTCGTAGTGGCTGTAAACACACTGGTTATAATTAGCAGGATGCCACCTGAGGGTTGCATATATACTTGTTCTGGTATTTATAGACACATGTATGTTGTTATGCTATGTATAGGCTTGAACTTAGTGTCTTTATGATCAAACACTTTGCATTGGTGGTCTTTGAAAAATACCCACCTTCCTCTCTATATTATTTGTATATGCTAAGATAGTTTTATCAAATTTCAAGAGTGATTGCAATTCCAGATTGTAAACATCTGTATAATTATTCGTTTTTAATACAGAAATCCCATGTGCAAGTTACCCATGTCAGAATGGTGGAACATGTGAAATCATAGACCATAGATACCTGGTAGGAGAGGAAGAAAAACATGATTATTCTTACAAATGTCTTTGTGTGGATGGATTTCTTGGAATAAACTGTCAACGAGGTATTTGATAAAATTCAACTTTTCATTATATATTTCATATGTCATTAGATATTATTATATAGTGCTATAACAAGGAATCTGAATATAATTAATAACTACTAGACTTAAAAGAATGTCTTTGAATTAGTATTATAGTACAGTGTCAATCCGGTGGACAGTACATTGAGTTCAAAACTTCTGGCTATGACACCAACTGATTGATATTTTTTCTATAGTGAGATCTGCATGTGATGTTAATGATCCTTGCTTTAATGGACGTTGTGTGCCAGATGAAGAGAATGTGAAACCAACATGTTTTTGTTTACCTGGTTACCAAGGAGACACCTGTAATGAAGGTAAGATTGCCTGACATGGTCATATGTCAAATAGTGATAGTCATTATGGTGAGTCCAGTTTTTATTATGGTGTATTGTTGAGAATGTTCCCACTGTTATAATATTATACCATTATATCATATGCAACATATTGTGGACAAACCATAGACTTAAGGTAGAAGCCTACTCATGAATTCAAATACCCAGAATTTATCCATTCAATAAATTGTACTTCTGGGCAATATAAGAATATTGACTGTCACCAGCTTAATTTACGAGAAAATGATGGTTGTATTTTAGTGGATAGTGGCCATTTTGACAGTATTATAGTACTTTTACCATAGGTTTCTATGGCAGAGATATTATGCCATATCTCAAACTGTAGGCTGATGACATAGGCTGAAAAAATAATATATTGTTAATAATGGGGTACTTTTTGTTTTCCTGATTTATTTCAAAAATCGGGGTTGTAAAAAGTGTCAAAAAATGCAATATTTGTTTAACATTATGCTCTATAGAATTGTTCTAAAAATAGCTATTTTTGAAAAATATTGGGACAAATTTCTCAAAATACGTCCCTGTAACATACAAAAGAATGCTATTTTATGTTGCCATGGGATAATAGCTCCAAGAATTTACATAATAGACAAACAAACATTGTCATAAGATTTATAACCTATTTTCTCAAAAATGATGAATAGACTTCTATAGTACCTTAATGTCATCGTAATGGACAACACTATCGACACATGTACATGTACGTGCACACAGTTTACATGGTACCAGTATATCTTAATAGTTACATATTGCTTTACACGTTTTTTTTTTTTTTTTTTCTCATTTGTAAATGTTGATGAATGCATAAAAAATGATTGCAGTAATCATGCAAGTTGTCAAAATACTGAAGGTTCCTATAAATGTACTTGTAATGTAGGTTTCCTAGGTGATGGTAAACAGTGTGTAGGTATGTACATTTTGATTGTGATACAAAAATGTCAGGCAAAGTCTATCATACATTTGCGTTGATAGCCCCACAATACTAAATACCGGAGGTATTTACTTGCATATATCCTGAAGTTGCATTATCAGGAATATTTTATAGAAAGCATTTTAAATTTTGCACTACTTAGGTCATAAAAACATATCAAAAACATATTTATGTAAGTTGTAAGGGTTGTTGTGTTTGTGTCTTATCCTAACCGAAACTTGACAATAGTGTTCAGTGACCAAGTTATTATTGCCTTCACTTATAATCGTAGGTCTCACAACAGTAATACAATCTGCCATTGAAACACAGTCATGGAAATGAACACTGTAATTTTGACTTATATTACTGGTTATTCTTGACGGTTTAATGATTCAGTGGAATGATAATCAAATTTATTGCTTTCAACATCAGGTCAGGTACAATGCCAAGGTCTTTTACAAAACAATGGCCAGTTATGGCCACTTTATTAACTGCAGCACAAACCAAACTACTGGGCCAAGAAAACTATCATGTGTCAACCCATTGTTTCTTCAAAATTCCAACTCTGGTAATCCTACTGTTTATTTCGGGGCACACAAAAAATACAAGACATAATTTAATTCTACCCCAGAAATTAATTTGCAAAAGAATTAGTTATCTTCAGATCACTGATTGGAAAATCTTGAATGCGATTCAGTGATGCCCTGGAGAACTGAAAGTTGAATCAGAAAGGAAATGCTCAGTAATTTTTGACTTCGGGCAAGACGTTTTAGACCTGAATATATTATGAATACCATAACTGTTGCTATTATTATACCTGTATGCGATATCATTACTTCACATAGTTAATCTTTTCACCAATAGTTCTTCTTTTCATCACAAATTCACAACTTGAAACTAGTCCTGTTTATAGTCTTGCACTTTCCGTCAGAAGATTGGAACAAAAATAGCCAAAGTTTTTGAGTAAAAATCGAAAATTTATTCAAATTTTGTTTGTTGGCCCCGAAATTAGGATTCATTCCCACAAATATTGAAGAATATATTAAGAAAAAGTGCAGAAAAATTTGGCTGAGAAAGTATTGTGATGAAAAGGTTAATAGTTGAGAATCTACATGTACATATACATATTATTTCTTCTCAAGCTGAGGAAGTCAAAATCAAATTACAAGATCCAAGTGTATGCACGCAATATATGGAAGGTAGTAAAAAATGCAGAATAGTGACAAATGATATTGGTAGTTGTGACGTTGAAATAGAAGTCGTTGTCACGGGACACTACATGACACAGCAGATTAAATGGTTTCATTATTTTGCTAAGCTGAACAGGACAAGAGTTCATTCAACACAAGTGAGTATTTAAGGCAGAATAAGACGATGTGTATATATGGTAACAAAAAAAGAAATTTTAAATAGCATAATGCCTCAAAAAAATTATGATAGGTAGTCACTGATATAAATAGACAATAACAATGACCTAGAAACAGGGACTTATAATCTGGTTTCTATCTGCCACATGTGCCTAGTATACTTCATTTGGGACATTCAAACATGCAGGGGTTTGTGATTCGATCCAAGATGGCCAACAGGCAGCATTTTTTGTCTTTAAAAATGTTCTATCTTGGACATGCTTTGTTAGTTTTTTAAATTTAGTACATACATGTACATTATACATGTTAGAATACATGTGCCTGATGATTCATTTCACAATTGAATCAAACAGCCATCTTGTTTTTTTGAAAATGTGTCATTGACTTGCTTGTTAGGATACATGTTAATGGCATGTCTTGTGGATTATTTAGAAAATCCTTCTCTGCTAATGCTGTGTGAACGGGGGCATTATCCTGTTGGAAATGGAAATTGGATCCATCGAGTCTTAGTGCCGACGGTATCATTTTGTTTTGCAGGATATCCAAATATTTCTATCGATTCATGGTCGTCGGTACATAGATTAGCGATCCTAAGCCGGTAGCCGAAAAACACCCCCACACCATGACGCTTCCACCACCATTTTATTGTCAGTTTAATACATTTCAACTCGTATTCTTCACCTGGTTTTCGACGTACAAATAATCTCCCACGGCTTCGAAACACCGTAAACTTGGATACGTCATACCAGATAACTTGAGCCCACTGCGCCGGAGTCCAGTCGATGTGTTGTCTGGCAAATTGCAACCGCGCTGCGATGTGTTGTGGTTGAAGTTTTGGTTTCTTTTTAGCAACACTGCCTCGAAGATTACCATCCTTATATAGTCTTGATTTTATTGTGCTCAAACTCAATCTTTTCCCAGTGAGTTGATTAAAATTGGCACGCAAATCACGGGTGATGTGAAATCTATTCGCTAAACTAGACCGGATGAGTAGCCGGTCTTCGCATTCCATTGTATGCCTTGGTCGACCTGATCGACGACGATTGTCCATACTACCTCGCAGACGAAGTTTCCGCAGGTTGAAACGAAGGAGCCTTCAGAAATTCCCAGTCTTCTTGCGATTTCCCTGCTAGGAACTCCCTCTATATACAGTGCTTCGATGTTTTCTTTAGTAAATTCTGACAATTCTCTAACTTTCGGCATCGCTCAATGTTTGTAAATAAAAATTTCGCATCTGATACTATGACCTCGATAGGAATATTCATGAACCACAACTGACAGGTATTTCCACCCAAAGGGCGTGTTGAAATAATTTCAGCTTCCCAATTGGTTCAAATTTGTATGAGAAAGGACACGTCCATTGCACATGTTTTATGGCATGCAATTTTAATGAGATCCAAATGAGCTCCTCCCATAGAATTAACCATGGGGATTTTCGCTTACCGAAAAAACGTCTACATACAAAAAAACTAAACACAAATCAACCATTTTATTTTGACTAAAATGCACTAGTTCGTGTTAAATTTAGTACTGTATATTTTAAAGACAACACATCATGTTACCTGGAATTGTTGATCAATTGACAGGTGCGTAAATACTTTCTGGCGGGTCTGTATATTAGATTGCAAATTTAGTCATTTGATAAATCTGATATTTGTTGATACAAGAATAGTCATTCAGAAACAATTTAACTCATCACATGACTAGTGATTTGCATATCTAATTTATTTGCATAGAAATATATAATTATGTCCATAACAATTCAATTTGTGATCAGATAAATGACAACAGACTTGTGTTTTGGCCACATTTCCAATGAGGACGGTGCCATTAACAATGACTTCCTTGATCGTGAATTTGCTATTAACACAACGCCTGCTAAAAGCCTGCCTGGATATCCAGTGTGAGATCTATGTTAAACACTTTTCACTTTGTAACTTAACTATGTGTTGTGCCGTTTATTGGTAAACCGTTAGCGGTATGCTTGTTTGGTCTTATAGCGCTGATTTATAGCAAAATTTCTGCAGTGGTGTAATCAAAAATGTACTCAGCAAATATAAAAACAATTTTTTTATGATGTTGCTTGAATAATTAATATGTTTGTTTTTTTTACTGTTCAGTTCACTCGTCAAGAAGTAGGTGCAAATAAGACCAAAATGGCTTTCAATTGTGAGGAGAAGGAATTCGTTGAAAATTACTTGACAGTAGAAGTACATACAGGTCATACGCCACCACCACAGATAATGATAAAAATTTATCATAAATCTATAGGTTAGCTTCTATATTTATACCATCACTTCTTTCTTTTTCAGATATTAGTAGAATGCCTATAAACACTTTCATTTTGGGACATAGTGTCATGTCGGTGTCTCTTATTCGCATAGTGATTCGTTTGTTGGATCATGAATACAATAAGCCCTGGATCAAGTAAAAAAGTGGTAAATTATGTAATACCTAGACTGTTGTTGCATATTTGTGAGTTGATTGTCACTAAATTGTATTGGTAGATTTCAATTCAATTTCTACTTCCCATTTTTTTGGTATAATCTCAATTATTCTCTCAACAGCTTTATAGTACTCGTTCATTCTAATCTTTCTTTGATGTTGAGATATATATTGCTTTTCATTACCTTTCTCCCAGAGCTTGGTCCTCAGACGTCAGGTGCTCCATTTTCTGTCAGTGTTTATAATTTTGATCTCTTTCCTGGCAATGATTGGATTGGTAAATGGATACAGGATAAAACCCATGAATATGAAATCATTGAGCCGCCAGGTTTGACTTATGAATACCAACTTGATTTATTTGATGGTGACCATGTAGGTTATCTGACGTATTATGCGTACAACGGTAGTGAGGTACAAGTTGCATCCCGAAAATTCCATGATGAACTAGGTTAGTGGTACTAATTTTTTACAGGGTAGAATTGGACAACTCACTGAAGACTTTTAAAGTATAATGATGTCAAATTTTCTGCATTAGCAGAATGACCCAAAATGTCAGTGCAGCATTTTATAAGGTTTGTGTCTGTAAGATTGGTTGCGTTCATTGACATAATTCCATTTCTACATGCTACATACATTGCTGTATTTGTTGTTAACAAAGGAGAGTGTTTGAATGTGCATATACGGTAACAAAGATACATTCCATAACTTATTCAAATGCATAGCACTTCGAAAAATATTTTTGTCAGACTGTTGAAAACTATTGTGTTCATCACAAGATTTGTGCCATAGTTTGGAATTCTCAAAATAATAATTTTTATCATATGAACAAATCACTGGGAACATAGTAAGCATGAATAATTCCAAATTGTAGCTTAAAATGTCCACCAAAGGAAATATAGTGTCAGAAAAGAAATAAATAGGTTGGAATAACAACTTCTTCTGAACAATTTACACATGTACCATCCACACAACTCGAGAATCTTGTAAGGCCGTTGAATTATGTAAAATGACAATATTTTATTATATTTGAATAATTATTTGGTTTATTTGCAGATGAGAATGAATGTGAACTTGGTACCCATGAATGCAATGAACATTCTGATTGTGAAAACACACCTTCATCTTACGTGTGTATTTGTCATATGGGTTACCATGGTGATGGTAAACTATGTACTGGTTAGTGATTCATTCTGATTACTAATTACTAATTCAAAATGTGATTTCTGTTCACTGGGGGAAAAGAATATTTACTGCCTAATGTTTTTATAATAACAGCAATGCCCCTACTTGCTTAATACATTTTGTTGTCTGGCTTGACTGTTAATGCTTGTATTTTGTTGTGACCTGCTAGCTAGGAGTGCTATTGAGCCAATAGTTGCCTTCATGATTTGTGATGTTTCTAGTAAGATACAGTCAATATTTTAGCAGTGTTCAACGGTAGTGGCTAACTAATAATTGTTATTAAACATATACTATATTTTATAGATATAGATGAGTGTACCTTTTCAAGTAACAACTATTGTGATCGCAATGCCTTATGTACGAATTTACCTGGAAGTTATGAGTGCGTCTGTAATAATGGTTACCATGGTGATGGGCATCGCTGTACAGAGGTGGATTGCCCTGTATTTGGAGAATTAACCAATGGTCACATCTCAAAACACTCGCATTCATTTCATGACACTGTGACTTTCACATGTTACAATGGATTCCGTCTGGTGGGTTCCAGCACTATCACTTGTTTACAGACAGGGCAGTGGAGTGCTGAACAGCCAGTCTGTAGAGGTATGGCTCAGTCCCGTTATCCTCAAATTTGGGGGACTGTTGGAACTGACAATTATTTTATATTAAGTATAATAAATATATTTTTAATATATTTAATAAAATAAGAATATATTTTTATGTAATTGACTTGATTTACTTTGCTAGTTTTTATCAAGACTTTTAAGTTTTATGTTAAAATGCAATGCAGAAAAAAAGCTGTAACAATATTAAATACAGGATAACATATGATAATATATTTTCAACTGAAATTTAATTATTTCTTACTGTGACTTTTAACCTTGTTTTTTTTCTTCTGCAGATCATGATGAGTGTGCCGCAGATATGGGTTATTGTCATTCCAGTGCTATATGTACTAATTTACCTGGCTCTTTCAAATGTTCATGTAGAATGGGTTATCGTGGTGATGGAACATCCTGTATAGGTGAGGTATTAGTTTTCTGAGTCAAAGATTTGGTTTTAAACTTTATTTGATTCCATGTATGCCTCTCAATATCATTGGCTCATAGAAGTTTGTTCGTTGATTTTATCTATGACCCCAATACCATCAGCGCAGAAAATTTTGTTCTTAACTTTCCTTGGTTCTATTCTTGCCCCCATACCATCAGCACAGAGAAATCTTTTCTAAACTTTCTTTGGTTCTATTCTTGCCCCCATACCATCAGCACAGAGAAATCTTTTCTAAACTTTCTTTGGTTCTATTCTTGCCCCCATACCATCAGCACAGAGAACTCTTTTCTAAACTTTCTTTAGTTCTATCCTTGCC